TGGGCTCATACAGGTGCTGACGGTACGGGAGCTGTTCGAGGGCTACCCCTTTTTGACGGCCTTCAATATGGACCGCATATATGAGATCGTGTCGAAGCCGCTCAAGTGGTTCGGACTGGAACTGCCGCCCAACTACCTGCCCGGCAATAAACTGGGCTTGCTCAGGGCGGCCATGCAGCACCGGGATGGGCCGCACGTGTGCGAGACCGGGGAGGGCGATTCCACCTTTATCAAATTTGTGTCCTTTAAGGGAAAAACGTAAGTACCTGGGCTTAGCTGGATACTTTTAGACAAATATGGTTATGGTATTTATATATACACTGGAATGCCCTTATGCAAAATGTTCACACGTGATATAAATTAGTGTGTCCCCGAACAAACTCGAGTACCAAACCTAATTTTATATATCAAAAATTAAATGACCAGTATTATAATTAGCAAATATGATTCACAGGTCGTACAACATGTATGACAACCCGAAGTGCAATGTCGTGAACGCCAGCGATGGCCGACACGTGGGTCCGTTTAAAATGACTAAGGAATCGGCCATTTGGGTGCCCATCGGCGACTTGAGTAGGTATGGCCTCCCGTAGTATACATTTCATTAGCAATTAAAATGATTGCCGCGGTATAATTTACTGTAGTACAAAATAGACCAAAACAGTTTAATAATAATATTATTATTAAATTTATTATTGATAATAATTATTATTAATATGATAATGGTGCTTTCTCAAAAATATATGCAAAATAAATATATTTCAACGTTATTTGAATATTAATTATTTTTGCGTTTATTTTGCAGAAACTTTAACATCGCTTATAAGGAGTCGAGGAGTGTGTGGGGTCTACCCGTGTGGCGGTACACCTTTCCCGCCGCCATGTTTGCGTCACCTGACAAAAACCCGCTCAACATGTGCTTCTGTCAAACACCGGATGACCCGGACATGTGCGACGGCATCTACGATGTAGGGCCCAGTATCTATAATCTGGGCGCACCGATAGCCGTATCCTATCCGCACTTCCTGTTTGCGAGCGATAAGATACGCACGAGTGTTGATGGTATGCACCCGGACCCCGACCTACACGAAACAGTCATCGATTTTGAGCCGGTACATTTAAGTTATTACACTAGTATAGTATGGGTAACTAAATAAGTTTGTAAAATAATATTTAATTTCCAGACTACCGGTGCGCCACTGAGAATCAGGGCTGGTGTTCAGGTGAACCTACTGCTCGAGTCGTCGGCATACGTCATGTAATATACAATAAACTCAATTAAAATGATTTAATAATTTAGTTTCAAAAATGTGTTTATATTTCGCGTCAAACTCTAGTGGTTTCGGTAATATTCGTAAAGCCGTTTTGCCATTCGTTTGGGTTAAAGTTGTTAGTATTGGATAAATTAGCTAGAACATTTCAAAACTAATAAATTTGCACATACTTTAGGAGGATCCCATGAGTGAATTCCTACGACTGTTGGCTACCCTGGGTCTATGGCCGGTGTTGGCTATAAATTACGGATGTGTTGCCCTATTTCTCGGAGGGCTCGGAGGTTTAGGCTATACATCGGTCTATGCGTTCAATCGGAGGCGTAAAGTAAGGACTTATATGTTATAAATAAAATAAAAATCATATAATATTGAGTGAGTGAGTGAGTGAGTGAGTGAGTGAGTGTGTGTGTGTGAGAGAGAGAGAGAAAGAGAGAGGATTCAATTATCAACTGAAACCCTATTGACACCATTAGTTGCGATCGCCACCACCTCATGAGGAGGCAATCACTACGTCGGTGACCAATATGAACGGCACGGATGTGAAAAATATGCCGATCTATGGTTTGCATGACAATCCGCCGCCTGTTTATACAATCAGTCAACGAGATTACGGGCACATAGAGAGAGTGAAGCGGTGCCACTACGGCACCCAAACCACACCTTCCCTTAATGGACGGACACCCGACAGGATTAGCAGCAATCCGAGAATTGCTGTATCGCCACCGGGCACTCTAGATCATGCTGGCTAATTTTGTGTATTAGCACACTTATTTTTATACCATAATTATGTGAAATGTCATTATAAATATTGTAAGTGACCATAATTCATAAAGTATTCAAATATGGCTAATTGTTAAATATTTTGTTTGTATCCCGGTTAAAATATTTTTGAGCATGTTTCGCTGAAGTGAATTGAATATATAAATTGAAATTAAATTGAAATGAATTAAAATACTACATAAATAATTTAACACTACAAATGTGTGTGTGTGTGTGTCAAATAGTGTAATGTAAACTAAAATATAATGTAAAATTAATTTATATATAATTTATATCACTATTTTATTTATTTATCGTTTATGTTTATGATTAAATTGCTGTAAATAATAATTAATAAGCATTTATATAATCTAATCTCTATTTTATGATACAATTAAATGATTAACAAATATTAGTAATAATATGTTATTACTACAAGTGTTTAGTTATGTTTGTATTATATCATTTAATAAAATAAATTGCGTATTGTGCTCAAAATATGTTAAAATAATAAGTTCAACGAGTTTAACTAAAAATTAATTTTGTAAATTTACAAAAAAACTCATTTTTCCAATAAATATGTCCCAAAAGTATAGGAAAGACTCATTCGACAGGTTTGGCGACGATTTGTGTGAAGTCCTATTGAGTTACCTATCATTTGAGGACCGATTCACATATGAATGTCTGTCCAAACAGTGCCGGAGACTCATATTCCGGGCGCAAAGGGAACTATACGTAAACCTCGGCTTTTATATGCGCTTCAAAGGGCGCCGTTTGCCGCAAATCAAGACTATTATGAAAAAGTTGTCAAATATATCGCGCATTGACTTCACGTATAATTACTACTACTCTGTGCGCCATTTACACGAAAACAAGTCATTCAAAGCCAACATACGATCAATATTTGGCTTAATTGTGAAGTATTGCCGACAATTGGATACCATTTACATCGACATTGAGTGCGATTTGTCGGCAAAACTCATGAAACAATTTTTCACAACTTTTGCCAAACAGTTGACTGGTTTGCGGTTTAAATGCAACAATCAGTCCAACGGTGAGATCATGTCATTAATCACGCAATGCGTGAGTTTGCGTGAGCTATACATCGGTAACAAAAACTCGACACAAAATCTATTTAACGAGAGAAACGAGATTTTGTTCAAACGATTGCAAACTCATTGCTTTGAGTACTATATCCGCGATATACAGAGGTTTGAGGTATTTGTCGATTACTATAGAAATACATTGAAAGCCATGAATATATCCATCACTTGGAGTTGCGATGAATTATCTATCAATACATTAATGACTGGTTTGTCGCAAATGATTGCGTTAATTGACTTAAGCATTGAGTTAAATACGTTGAATCACGTGATGAGCGAACTGGTGTTGTGCCGGCTGAAGCAAATCGGCTACCGGTGCCGTCGGTTGAGGCGCCTGGCGCTGGACACCAGGGCTAACGTGATCATAGGCTACGAGCACTTGTTCGCCATAATTAACGCACATTTCAATGGTTTAAAGCGTTTGGAAATAAGGGCTAAATTTCCCGAAGAGTTTGTACTAATGAGTGAATCCTTGAATCGCTGCAAACGGTTGACTCATTTAACGATAATTCCGGACATTTTCAGCGATTACTGCATTTGCGACAAGTTTTTGGCCGACATCGACGCCAACCTACCGGTGCTTCAGTGGCTATACCTCTCGCGAGTGATAGTCACGAGTCAGTCGCTGAAGTCGTTGTCAAACGCGAGAAAACTGGAGTCAATTGAACTGAGTTTGTGTCAGTTCGCAGGCGTTCCCGGTATTGATAGCCTGTATGATATTTACGACAGTTGTCCCAAAATTGTCCGGATCATTATTAATGGCAGAAAGTATTGACACTGAAGTGTGAATTTAGATATTGTATTATAACTTAAAAGATAAATATTGAAGTATTGTAGTAATAATGGCGTAGGAAATGGTAAAATTAATTATATATTTTCATAATTTAGCATGCAACAATTTAAGAATTGCATTGAATCTAGCTAGTATATTCATTGATTTGCAATTAATTATTTTAAAGATTATAAATTTTTATGAGTTTACTATTGAGGCTATAAAAATTAATTGTATTTAATACTAATATTTAATATTTTGATAAACTTTATCGGGTGACTTTTGTAAATTGTATTACTTTTAAAATAACTACCCTAACAAACGATCTAGATTATTGGCTGTTTAAAAAATAAATTGATAAGATATTAATTATCAATACTAAAAGTCAATATACTGTTTATACATCAATTAGTGCGGTTATCGATAATTATTAACAAATTATCAATTAACCACTACAGTATTACCGTATAAGTGTATTTATAAAATATTTTATCAATGTCGTTTAATAGATAAAACATTGTACAACATATTGTTATGAACAAAATGCAATTTAATCAAATATATTTATTTTTAATAAATTAATATTATTTTAAAACTAATGATGTGAATGTAATATAATTAAATGATATAACAAGGTGACTTATTTCACCCGTAATTACAGTAATAATGGGCGCAAACTACTCATTGAAATCTCGATATAATAAACACAAAAATAATAATATATTTTTAAACGACAATATATTGTGTTTAATACTAAATGAACTAAATATACGGCAATTACTACGCGTGGAGAGTGTGTCAAAACAATTTCGCGATTGTGTCCGCAATATATTGCAAATAAAAACCTGCCTAACAATTGGACAGGTAGTGGACACCGGTGCTGACACGTGGTTTGTGGTAACTATTCAGGATACTCTTAAAACCGATAATTTACAAGTGATTTACGAGCGCAACATTAGCCGCGAGTTTTGCCACAAAACCGTTTGCGTCTATAATCTCGTCGAAAGTCACAGAATATTCCGATCTGTAGTACAAAAGTGTGCAAACATTACGAGAATATTCCTGAATAACTGTCTCGTAGGCAGCGATACTATGGACACGATTGCGGATAACTGTCCACAAGTGCGGTGTCTTTCGATGAGTGATGTCTACTGTATATCAGCGGCCAATGAGTGGACACAATGTGTGCGAAATTTGGGCAAAAAATTGCGGTTAAAGTCGTTGTCTATAAACGGTGTGCACGTGTTGGCCCACAATTGCGGCTATTTTTACCACTCGTTTGAATACAGTTTTGTGTTATTTAATGAATTTTGTCAGTAATTTAAAGAATAATGATATGAACGTATAAATGGGAGCCATAAATAAGCATGTAAAATGAAAAAAGCAACTCAATAATTTTCATGGCTTTTATATGTTAAGCATTAAAATAATTATCAAGTTGAAATGTACGGTTTAATTATGAAAAAATAAATACAAATATTTAGTAGCATTATATAGTACACATTGTACAATGTAAATTACACAAATATTAACACTTTTAACTGACAAACTTGTAATAATTCTAAACTATTTGAGTAACAAATTCTTAATGAATTAATAAATTAATTAATATATTGACACAAAAAGTTATGTAATATATATTTATCTCTTTTATTTCAAAATTAAGAGAGAGAGAGAGAGAGAGAGAGAGATTTTAGTCATAAATTCTTTGATTAAGGTATGTATGGTACGGTATGCGCAATGACATCCCTGTGCCCACCGTGTGTTGGGTCAGTCACTATGGCAGTGAACTGCACAATATTGCATAACTATGTAGAGTTTGGGGTGCCAATGCGCACAGGGAGTCAACTCTACTCTAATGCCGAGACATTTAGCCATCAGTTGTAAAACCATTTATTATTCAATGGCTATAAATACACTGGTATTGCAGTATTGAATGCAAAGTCTATTGAATTGTGTGTTGATTTGATAATCTAAGTTATATTTATAGACATGTAATTTAAATATCGTAAAAAATGAACCAGAATGTGCTAGCACCTATTTATATTCTACATGCTAGCATATTTATTGCTTGAAATCTAGTGACAGTTAGTAAGCTCTTAATTACCAGAGGTATTTTTAATATTAACTACCTTGCTAAATAAGTATATTGAAACATTGACAACATTAAATTACTAAACATGGATTAAAATTAATTCCACCTGTGTGCATAAATATTGTACCGTATAATGATTTGCGCATTTGATGGGCATTACCCTGATGAACTATCCGCACGACACAGTTATGCTCATAATAACAACCAGCAACTTGTTAATGTTCATGGTAAGTAATAAAATAATATTCATAAATTACTAACAAGCTACATTTATCATAACGGTTCGCGACAAAAAGGTCCCATGAGTTTGGCACCGGTCGACAATCCCGTAGCCCACTGTCCCCCAGGTCTGGAATACCTGTTAACCGTCGACCAGTTACTGGTGCACCAGAAGATTGAGCTACTCGAGAGTAAATCATATTGCATCATGGTACATTAATTGGCAACATGTTTAAAATAATGCTTATATTGCCACTGGTGTAGCATTAATTGGTTGCGAAACCAACAATAAGTACGAGATCAAAAATAGCCTGGGTCAAAAAATTTATTACGCCAAAGAAGGTGCTATCACTCAATATATATATATATGCCATAATTGATCTAGGTATTTATGGCTGTTCATTAACATTGTTACGCTTAGATACCGACTGTTGTACGCGCCAATTGTGTGGACCAATCAGACCGTTTGATTTGAAAATACTGGACAATAATCGCCGGGAAGTCATACACCTATACCGGCCCTTACGGTGCGACGGCTGCTGCTGTTGGTGTTGTCTACAGGTATGTACAGTCGGTCGCAAAATAATGGGTCACATAGATCTCCCACCAGGTTCACTATATTAGAAGAATTGGACAATTTATTTGTGGGTTACAGTAATGTAGTTAATTAATCTAGTTAATTGTATTTTATTATCAAATATGCCATTACCGCAGCGCCTGGATGTACTGTCCCCTTGCGGTGAAATACTGGGTACTATTCGCCAGGAATGGAGTCTATGTTTACCGAAATTCCGCGTCGAGGACGCCAATGGAGAGTGTGTGCTAATGATCAGGGTA